TTTTAGTAGAGACAGGGTCTCACTCTTGCTCAGGCTGGTCTTGAACTCCTGCGCTCAAGAATCCTCCCACCTTGGGCTCCCAGAGTGCTAGGATTATAGACGTGAGTCACCGTGCCTGACCTATGTTAGATGAAATAGGATGATTCTTAATTCTCTATCTGGATCTCCAATTTTTCTGTCTTCCTGTATAAATACAGTAGTAAATTTGATTTAATATTTAATAATAATGTATTTATTATCTCAATGTTGTTTGGAAATTGAGAATGTGGCAGTGAAAATAAACACAAAAATACTCTCTTAAAACTTATATTATTATAGTAGAAAAAGGCAATAAATCAAGTGAAAAAATGGACTGTGGGTTACATGGTACCAAGTGCTTTGAAAGCATTAAGCAACCTCTCTTCATCCTCCCTCCCCCCACCCCTTCCCAGCCTCTGGTAACCAGCACTCTACTCTCTACTTCATGAAATCAATTTTTTTTAAGCTCCCACATATGAGTGGGGTTAGGGAGTATAGGAGTGGGATGCCATTTAAATTAGGGTTGTCAAGAAGAATCTTACTAAGAAGGAGGTATTTGAACACATTGAACACAGAGGGAATGACATATGAATTTCTGAGAAAGAGCATTCTATGTAAAGGAAACAATAATTATCCAAGACCCTGACATGCTTGAGGAACAGCAAGAGCCCAGCGTGGCTGGAACAAAGTGAACAAAGGTGAAAGTGTTAGGAGATGAAGTCAGAGAGATAATGGAGTGATTATGGAAGGCTTACAAGGTCATAATAAAGAATTTAGTTTTAATTCTGAGAGAATTGGGAAGCCACTGAGAAATTTTAAGAGGAAGAATTGCAAGTTTTTAAAGGCTAACTCTGGTTTCTGTATTGAAACTAGGCTGGACTATGAGGTTAGGGGAAGTAAAAGGGAGAATAATTTTAATAGCATAATACTATTTCCTTTTAGAAGGCTATTGAATAATTCAGGTTGAGCTTATGATGCTTCAACAAGAGTAGTAGCAGTGAAGGTGGTGAGCAGTGTCCAGATTCTGATACATCTTGAAGGTAGAGTCAAAAAGATTTGGAAGGGAAGATCAAAAGTTCGTTTTGGGACATGTTAAGTTTGGAATGCCTATTAGACACCTGCATGGAACTAAAGAGTAGGTAGTTTGATGTATGATTCTGGAGTTCAGGAAAGAAGTCTATAATGGAGAAACGTTTCAGAATCCTTAGCCTACAGGTAGTACTTAAAGAACCAAGACTGCATGTGATCTCCAAGGGGGTGAATGTAGATGGAGAAGAGGCAAGGTGAAGGAGTGGATGTCTGGGATCACCAGCATAAACAGGCTGAAAACCGAGGAAGAATCCACAAAGGAGACTGAGAAGGGACGAGGGAACAGGGTGTTTTCAGGAGGATGGAATGATCGATCAAATCCACAGGTCAAGTAGGATGGAGGTTGGACTGAAGAAAAACGGTATCATTGGAGAATCTAGAAGATAAATTTAGCTGGACCAACTCTTACTGGAATGGGTTCCAAACAGAATGGGTGGAGAGGAATTGGAGTGAGTGGATATTGGTAAGTCCTAAGGTTTTTTTTGCTGTGAAGGGAGGAGATAAATTGGGAGGCTGCTAAAGGGACAAAAGAAGTTCTTTTTTTAAAAAAATGAAGAAACAGAGTCTGTTTTTCTGTTGATGGAAATGATTCAATAGAAAGAGGGAAATAATTATGATGCAAGGTGTGGGGTAGGTGGATATCTAACATGATACCCTTAGGTGGCAAGATGGGATTGAAACTAGTGCACAAGTAGAGGGTTTGGCCCTGCATGGGGGCATGAAGCTCACCCCTAATAATAAGTTGAAGGGCAGAGTGTGTAGGTTTACACGCAGGTGGGTGGATAGATGTATTGTGGGAATGTGTGCAAGTTATTTGCTAATTTCTTCTGTCTCTTTATTGGAATAGGAAACAAGAGTGTCAACTGAGAGTAAGAAAAGGGGAGGAAGTATTGGAGATTTAAGGACAGAAGAGAAGGGATAAAGTAGTTGCCTTAGAGAACAGGAGGGCAGATGGACTCAGGAAATGGAGCAGGTCTGTTGGGCAGCTCTGAGAAAAGTCATTGTGGTTCTTCTCCAGCCACATCAAAATTCAGGGGTGCAGTTGTGGGGTAGGCAGAGAATTGGATTTGATGGGGCTTCAGGTTGGACCAGGTGAGTGCTCTAAAGGCGAGACAGGCAAGGAAACTAAAGCTGTTTGCAAGAGGGTGATTGAAATGATGGACTAAGCAACTAAAGCTGGTTAAGTAGGGATAAAGAGATGGCGAGGGGAGGTGGGGTCAAGGGAACAGTGAAAACCAGTTCCAACAGGTTGTGGATTCCAGAAGGGTTGAAAAATTGCTGGATTCATGATTCCAGAGATAACGATCTAGAAAGATATTAATACCTTTGTTAAGGTCATCACCATTCACTCTTCGCTTTCTCCCTTTTCCCTTGGATATTCTTAGGAACATTAGACCTGTGTGCTTCAAGATAATTTAATCTGATTCTGAACAAGAAAACTACATTAACAAAAGACAAAAGATACTTTTGGCTTTTTAATTGGAATTCATTAAAATGCATATATTAATTTTAATGCAATTTACATTTTTTATTAAGTCTTCCATTCCAAGAACATAATATATTTTCCCATTTGTTCAGATTTTATGCCCTTAATTTTTATCTTCCCTTCTCAGAGCTCACAATTAGGCTCGCATTGGCTGCTATCATTTGCAAATAACTTAGCAACTAGTTTACTTACCAAACTACTCCGCCCAAATAACAGACCTTGAAACACTTTCAACTTCCTCCTTTTCCCCTCCTTTTTCCTCCAGTGGATGAGACCATCTCACTTGATCCCCAACTCCTGATTTTAGTTGATTTTTGTTCTAGACTTTTACTAGAATTTTCCTTCAGTATGCCCATTCTATTTCAATAACTTTATTTAGCACTAACTTTTACATATATCATTACCCATTAAGAATTAAATGTTTAGATTTTCTGTCCTTTCAGTCCTCAGTATTTCTAGATGTTGATCCTAGTCCTCCAGAGATGCAGATAAGAGATCTATTTCTTTTTCTTTTCTTTTCTATTTTTTTTTTTTTTGATAATTTGATTTTTTGAGTGGAGGTTTGTAAGATTTTTCTCCTGATTTTTTAGATCAGGGATTTTACTAGAAGCACATCTGCCTGACACCTGCCTGAACATTGAAAGAATCTGCAATTGACAAAGTACTTAGTTCCAGAGAGCATTTTTTGTGCTCTCCCTGCACTTCCATAAGTGTTCTTATTATTTTGCGTTCAGATTGTCGTGATTACTCCTAGCAGTTCTGTTTCCCATTTGAATTTCCTCTCCCTGGCTGCTGAGCCCCTGTATAAGTCAGGCTAGGCTTATATAGTCAAATCAGCCTTTAAATTTCGTGGCTTAACCCAGCAAAGGTTTAGTTCTTGCTGGGATTGACAAGGGGCTATACTTTACAAAGCCTCTCACGTGCCCAAGTGCCACTATGTTGTAGGTGCATCATCTGAAACATGAGATAGTGATTGCCTAGAAAGGCATGAGATAGAGTGCGGAGAGTGTGGAGTGGCACATGAGCTCTTAAATTCCTCAGTCTGGAGCTCTTATTTAGTTGGATAAAGACCCTATCTAAATGTAAAGAGGCTAAGAAGTATAGCCTTGCCAGGTGCTCAGGAAGGAGAGGAGAATGCATACAAGTGAACATGAGTGTTCTGAACCATAAGTCTTCTTAGAGGTGCTATTATTTGTCCTGGTCATCTCACTGGGGTTCCTGTCTTGTTGGCCATCAGCTACGCAGTGATAGAAAGTGAGGTCAGCAAGGTGGGCAGTGGCAGGCAGATAACCAATCTCTGCTAAGGCATCAGGACTCCTGGATCTCTTAGCCTCTGGATGGCTCATCTGTCCAGCTCTTCTTTATCTTCTGGGGGTCCTAGGACACCAGAGACACTTATGTGGGACTCAAGTTTATTTTATTACACATGGGTTCATGAATATTTGTGGGTCAGACTTTTCCTAGTGTATCTTATATATTGATACTCATTTCAGGGTTTTCCATACCAGCCTCCAGGCATTTGTTTTCTTTGTCTTTTTCTTACTCACTCTCACTTTCTCCCTAGGCAAGGAAGTGCAATTCCAGATCTTCTTGCTGAGCTTTTCCCAAAGCCCAAGCCCTCCCCATACTCAGCTGACCCCTAGATCCAGAGCCTCCTAATTTGGGGAAATAGCCAGGTAACTTGGGGTTGGAAGAGGAGAGGAAGTCAGGTGTGTTAAGTTCCGTGTTATTTTAGAATTCTTCCCATTTGTCAAACTTAATCTCTTTAGGTGGACAATTTGTGTGATAATTTCTAGTCAAATGATTTGTGGTTTATTTCTTTCTCCTGTAGTCTAGAACCCTGGTTGGCTGAAGGAGGCAAAGACTGTGTTCTAAATGCTCTCACTTCTCCCCATTTCAGAATAAGGACAGGCTTCAGATTGTGGGTGGGAATTTTGAAAGAGATATTTGCAGGGGATTGTGCTTTTCCAAATGCCCTCCCTCTCTGCTCTTAAAGTGAGGGGCTTGTGCATATCAGCAGAACTGATGCATCCAAGGAGATCTTATTGAAATGTGAGAAATATCTAGAAGACTGAAAATACTTTGAGGGCCTTAAGGGGTTCTGAGACCCCAGAAGAGGAACCACTACTTTGTATTAGTAGCTGAAAACTTGAATAACATCATTAAATACCCAAAAGATCCTTTCAGAATTGTCTGATTTTGTTGTAGGAATCAGCCAAAGCCTTCAAATATATGAAATTTAGGGACTATTTGATATAGAAATATGTTTCCAATGATCATTGTGCCTGTTTTTCATTATTAAACTTATGCATAGCTTCCCCTGTGAATGATGAATTTTAAAAACTAGAATTAATATTTAAATTAACCACAGATATCCCTTGTCCTCCAAAATTTTGTGTCTTTATAGAGCTATATTTAAAGGATAATGGAGGCTTATCTTGTCACCTTTTGAGAGATGAGTTTGCTCTTACCACATTAAAGGTAAGTTTGAAAGTTTTTTCAAACCATAGTAAATCAGTTACCAAAATGCAATCTCTGGCCCTGGACAGGCCCACTCTCAGGGTTATGCTTGTTCGTGGCAGACCGGCTCTCTTTTCTTGCATAAATTAGAATGGGTTGAGGCCAGGGATGGAGTTTACTGCCATGAGAGAAGTATATCCAGAGGTATCAGCCTTTGATTTTACAACCTGATTAAAGTGCTTCAGAAAATATGATTCATTATTTGATGGAATATGAGTATTCCATGCCGTGTTCCTCATTTCCTAATAATAATGATGACAACAGCAACGACAGCTACCATTTATTAGTGCTTACTACATGACAGGTATTTTGCATGATTATTTAATTTTCACAGCTCTACGATGTAGGTATTAATCATTTTTGAACCATGCTGTGCTGAACCATGAAAAAACAGAGGCTTAGATGGTATAAGCAATTTACTAACATCATTCAACTAATAAAATATAGATCTGGGAGTAGGACCTACATCTTTTTGATTCAAAAATTCATGTTCTTAACCATTACCCTAAATTTCCCTAGTATGTGTATGATATTCCTGCTCTGTACAAATAAGTTTTTAGAGACCCATTGCTTAAATGATTAGTTAGTCCCTTTATCTCTGCTGTGTCAGGTTGCTGTTTACTACTGATTGTCTAATGCAAAATCTCATCATCTTCACATTACCGCTTAGGTGACCATAGTTTAACTCGAAATACAGCTGACCCTCATTATTCACAAATTCCGCGTTTGCTAATTTGTCTATCCATTAAAGTTTAGTTGTAACCTCAGAATCAATACTTGACACCTTTTTTGTTATTTGTGGATACACCCAGAGCATAGAAAAATTTGAGTTGCTCAATATGCACATTCCCAGGTAGGTTGAAAAAGGCGTCGCTCTGACTTTTTGTTTCAGCTCTCGTTGTGTAAACAAGTGTTCTTTCATGGTCTATTTTGTACCACAGTTTTTGCATTATTGTGCTTTTTTTGTTGGTGATTTCACGATTTAAAATGATCCTTAAGTATAGTGCTGAAGTGCTGTCTAGTGTTTCTAAGTGTGAGAACGCTTAACGCTGGTGTGCCTTACAGAGAATATATGTGTGTTAGATAAGCTTTGTGCGGACATCAGTTACCGTGCTATTGGCTGTGAGTTCAAGGTTAATCAATCAATAATATATATTAAATAATGTATCCTTAAATATAAACACATATCAAACAAGGTTGTGTATTGAGCAGTTGATGAAAATGTTGTGACCAGAGGCTTGCGGGAGTCTATCTCTGTATCTCCCCTATGAGCAATGGCTCAGTATCCACTACCCAGCAATTGTGACGACTTCACAGAACACAGCACTGTGAATAATGAGCATCGCTGTAGGTACGATGAAGGGTCCCTGCTGTGCACGCTTACGCTCGCCAGTACTCTGCGTGTTCTGTTGCCTTTTTCCTGTTCACTCTGCTCTTCTCTGATGATTAGGGGCAGATTTCCTTTTTGGTCTTCTTTCATTGTTATTTTTCAGTACGTGAAAATATTTGATAACTCAGAATGAGATACTATTTGTATTATTTCTGAACTTACATGATTGTGTGGTGTCCTTTCTTTAGTCAATTTTACTGGCGGAAGCCGAAGACAGGCTAAACTTCCTCGTGTCAGAGATAGAGCATCAAGGCCACCAGAACCTCTCTCAGTGCTCTGCTGGCGAGTTGGAGATTGTGGTAGAGGCCAGACTCCAGCTGGCTGCAGTCGCCCTGCAGAGACACCGGGCAGCCTACAGGTGAGTCTCTTCATGCTCAGAAGAGGTATACATTGGAAGAGCGTTTCTTCCTCACCCTGATTTGCTAAATATGCTTAAGTTTTACACAAGTTTTACACATTCCTAGATCCATAACATATTTGCTTTTTATTATTCAGGGGACTTTTTGTACATTATCACACCTAAGACTATAGTTCTCAATAAAGCAATTGCTTTATTAAAGCACATAGCTAGAATGTTTAATGTTGTATATAGAATGAACAAATTAACAGTGCTTTGATTTTTCATATATTTAATTTATTTTTTAAAAAGACCACACCTAAATTCCTTATAGATTTTTACAAATAAAACTTATGAAGTATTTTTTTCTTAAGCACTGAATAAAAATATTGAAAACAAGCTGCATTTTGAAAAAGTAACATCTTCTGAACTATGTTGCGCTGAACTATTTAAGAAACTGTTGTAGGTGGTTGATTATTTAAATGTGCTGCAACTCTTAGTGTCAGATCTTTCATTTAGCTTGTTCATTGATTCATTCATTTACTCAGCCAGTATCTGTTAACTATCTCACTACGAGGCTCTGAGCTAGCAGTATCTATATGCTCACAGACATATAAACAATTAAGTAGAATAGTAAAAAGTAATACTGTTATAGTGATTTTTTTCATATTTAACAATAAAGAAATATACTTTCAAGAATTTCCTTATACCTTCTGTGGTAAACACTTCTATCATGAGGTCTTATAGCATGTTCAGTAATGATTCACTTAGTAATACACAAATTTCTTATCATTCATTAATTCATTCAAAGAATAATTTTGAGCACCTACAATGTGCTAGGCACTGTTCTAAGCTCTTGGCATATGTCAGTATCCCAATATTCATATACACAATGTAGACAGGTATGTAAAAATACTGACAAGAGTCTTGCCCTCATGGATTTTACATTATAATCATAAGCAGGCTGATAATAAACTATAAACATAATAAGTAAGTAAGTTATATAGTGTGGCCAGAAGTAAGTGCCATGGATAATATCAGGAGTAGAGGTTGGAGGAGGAGGAAGAGTTATTTTAAAGTTGTGCAGTTGTAATGTTAATAAAAAGTGTGATTCCATTTTGATGTTCAATGGCTGACAGCTTTCAAGCCTACCACTCCGCTTCTCCTTCTGCCCCATACCTGGGCAAGCAGATAAGAAAGCCCAGTTGCTCCCTCTTTTTAGTGCTGAGATAGGAGAGACGATATATTGTATGCTAATGAAAAAGACCTAATAAAGAGGAAAAACATAATGTTCTGATGTAATTGGTGCACTGTGGAGCAGGAGTCCAGTATTCTCTTTTTCTCTAATGCAGAATAAAGTTATTCTCTACTTTGGGAATCCAGAATGGTCTCTGGGGGCTAGCAAGGAAACTGGCTGCCTGCCCAAAGCATAGATGGAAAAAGAGTCACCTAAGAGAAATCAGTTCCCAAGGCTGATGCCATTAGCAATTGTGGGGTCCAAATTGGCACCACCCATAAAATGCAGAAACCCTAATAAATTAACTTTAAAACTGGTCCAGGCCGGGCACGGTGGCTCACGCCTGTAATCCTAGCTCTCTGGGAGGCCAAGGCGGGCAGATCGTTTGAGCTCAGGAGTTCGAGACCAGCCTGAGCAAGAGCGAGACTCCATCTCTACTAAAAAAAATAGAAAGAAATTAGCTGGACAAGTAAAAAAATATATATATATAAATTAGCCGGGCATGGTGGCACATGCCTGTAGTCCCAGCTACTCGGGAGGCTGAGGCAGAAGGATTGCTTGAGCCCAGAAGTTTGAGGTTGCTGTGAGCTAGGCTGACGCCACGACACTCTAGCCTGGACAACAGAGTGAGACTCTGTCTCAAAAAAAAAAAAAAAGAAATAAAAAATAAATAAATACATACATAAATAAATAAATAAAATAAAGATTCTACATTGCAACAAACTTTCAAGAAACTATCACTTGTCACATGATAGTTGTCACTTTGATATTACTTTGGTGTAGCATCAAAGAAGATTATGAAAACAGGTATTTGAAGCAGCTGTTAAAATACTCCTCCCCTATGTGTATGAGGCCTAATCTTCTTCATATACTTCAACCAAAACAATATTTTACAAAAGACTGAGTATAGAAGCAGAGATGAAAGTCTTCTATGAATTAGATTATTTCTTATTAAGCCAGACATTAAAGAGAACCATGACATCTGCTCATTAATTTTTTAAAAAAATATAGTTGTTTTGTATAAAATGTACTGTTTATATCAACATGTAATAGGTTTATTATTTTTATTTTCAAATGAATTAAGAAAGCTAAAATATTTTCAGTTTAATTTCTAATATGGTAAGTGTTGATAGAGCTCTTTGGGGTTCTAAATAATTTTTAGGGGTGTACAGGGATGCTGAGATCAAAAGGCTTGAGAACCACTGGTTTGGAGTATTGTTACATTTATAGCTATCTTTAAGGATACAATGGTAGTTGATGGTAAAATCGGCTTAGCATGATAATATAGCATTTTCCCTATTGGATTTTGAAAGCAGAAGGAACATTTACTATATAATTTTCTATAGAACTCTTTTTCTCCAAACTATGTCCCAGAGAGCAACAGCAGCCCTAGAAAATATTTGTCATTTATCTTCATTCTTTCCTTGGCTCTCTACGCATCTTACACCCTTTTGGTATGGAGAATATGAGTGATTGTTTTTTTCTTTGGGCAGGAAGAAAGAAATGAGAAAGTAAAAATTACAAAATGGCCACAGAAGGGACTGTCATAATAGAACTTTAATTTGAAGATGTGATAGACATATGCAAATAATGTGCAAATGTATCAGAATCGCTCTTATTTTAAATACTGAACCTGGCCCTTGGGACAAAAGCTGCAGAAACTTTGATGTTACTGCCTTTTTGGAGCAGAGTTGTCATTCAGGGAAAGCCTGTTGTCAAGATGAATGAGTTTTTCTTGCATGAACTTTACCCCCCACGAGCTTCTGTTTGGGTACTGCTGAGAGTGTTGGACAGTACCTTTTCCAGATGATGGTTAGCTTGACATTTCATGATACTTCTAATAAAATTATGTGTCAAGGAAATTGAAAGGCACATCCTGTAAGGTGACAAGTAGAGTAAGCTGCATGGATTTTATGAGAAAAAACTGACCATTTTTGTTATGAATGTTAATAAGAAATAAATGGGATCAAAGTTATTCAAACTGCATTTCTACTTCTAGGGCTGCCTCTCTCTTTCAAAATCCTGTCCTTTTTTTTTTTTTTAAGTGCATGTTCCTTCCTATTTTTTATATTTAATTTATTGTCTAAATGGGAAAACATTTGAACCTTTTAATTTTGTGTCAAAATGAAATTTTCTTCCTTTGGGATTTTATAATAGACTGTTGGCAGTGAATAGTCTTTCCATACTGTCCATCTATCTAGTGTACTAGAGAAACTGGAAATTTTTCATTGTGCAACTATGCATTACCAGGTGGATTAAAACATACTGGTGTGTCCTATATTTTATTCATTAATTTTTTGAATCAGCAAGATGACAAACCTCATACCTCATTTCTCTTGAAATCAGAATTTGGGCTTCAGGATCAAAAGAATGAATGAGCACCATAGTCTTCTTCCAAGGTCATTTAGTAGCTGTGCCATGCTAGCCTCTGAAGCTACTGAATAGATAAGGCACCTTGGGAGAGCGTTGAGTCTTGAGGGAGGAAGGGTGGGCAGATAGGAAATTTCTTACCTATATACACACTGACTACATGGTATGTTTGTTGTTATTTTATTGCTTGTTTGTTTTGTTTTATTTTAAATAAAAACAGGTTAGATAATTCCAAACAATACTTCAGAAAATATTCTACAAATATCTAAACTATTTTAATAGCTCAGCAAAATCTTGGGAGTTTAAAATTCAATAATTTCTGAAAAGTTGGGATGCTGATTAACAACTTTAAAAAAATCAATTTAGTCCCCCCCATCTCCTCTGGCCAACTCAACACAATAATAATGATAATAGCTAGCATGCATTATGTGCCATCTATTTGCCAAGGCTCGTATTTGCTAAGCACACCCCATTCTCACTAGGTGTCAGCCCCACTAGGGCAGGAGTGCTTGTTTACTGCCGTATCCATAGCCCCTAGATTTCTTCCTAGCCCCATAGAAGCTACTCAATATGCATTTTTGAACAAATGAAAGAAAAAAGATTGCACTTAATCCTTACAATAATCCCATTTCATGAAGTCTGCCCTGTTACTTTCATCATTTCTGTTTTATAGATGAAGAGATTGATAGATAATTGGGCTTCCCAAAATCACACAGCTCATACATGGCAAAGACGGAATTTGAACTCTCTACCTCCAGTGTACAAAGTCTTAAAAATTAAGTTATCCCAGATGAATTAAAAAGTTTTTTTTTTTAAAAAAAAAGCAGAGAGAAATAGAATCAAATAATGGAATCTCTACACAGAGTCATAATTCTAAATTAGAACTGACTGGTTCCATACAAAACATAGAATTATTTTTTCCAGATCTGTGAAGAATGATAATGGGGTTTTGATAGGGATTGCATTAATTCTGTAGATCACTTCAGGTAATATGGACATTTTAACGATATTGATTCTACCAATCCATGAGCAAGGTAGGTTTTTCCATCTGTTTAGATCTTCTACAATTTCTTTTTTTAGTGTTTTGTAGTTCTCCCTGTATAAGTCTCTCACATCGTTTGTTAAATATATTCCTAGGTATTTAATTTTCTTTGAGGCTATTGTAAAAGGGATTGCGTTTTTGATTTGATCTTTGGATTGACTGTTCTTGGCATATATGAGTGCCACAGATTTGTGTGTATTGATTTTGTATCCTGAGATTTTGCCGAATTGATTTATCAGGTCTAGGAGTCTCTTAGATGAGTCCTTGGGGTTTTCTAGATATAATATCATATCATCAGCAAAGAGCGAGAGTTTGATCTCCATTTGAACACCCTTAATACCCCTCTCTTGCCTAATTGCTGTGGCGAGGACT